CGGGCCATCTTGGCCGTCTTGGAGGCCATCTTGGAGACATCTTGGAGGCCACGTTGGCCGTCTTGGAGGCCATCTTGGCCGTCTTGGAGGCCGTCTGGGGATTCTTGGGCGCCTCTTGGGCCGTCTTGGAGCCTTCTTGGGCCCGTCTTGGGGGCCTCTTGGGCCGTCCTGGGGCCGTCTTGGAGACTTCTTGGGCACTCTTGGGGCGATCTCGAGGGCCTCGTGGGTAGTCTTGGGCCGTCGGAATCCGAAAAGGAGCAAAAGCCAGAATCCTTCGCACACCTACGGAAATCAATGATTTTCGCCTCTTCGGGCAGTCCTTGAGGACCCTGGAGGGCCTCTTCGAGGCCTCTTGGGCCGTCTTGGAGGCCTCTTGGAGGCCTCTGGGGCCACTTGGGCCATCTTAGGTGTTTCTTGTGCGAACTTGGAGGCATCCTGGACTGTCTCGGGCCGTCTTCGAGGGCATCTTGGGACGAACTTGGAGGCCATCTTGGGCCATCGTGACCATCTTGGAGGCCATCTTGGAGCCGTCTGGCAGCCACCTTTTGGGCATCCCTGTGCACCCTTCCGGGTGGCCGGCGGGACGGGCCGAAGCCCCAGGGGGAGTTCTAAAAGAACCCAAAGCGAGGTGATCCAGCACGCCAGGCACCCCTGTGGCAAGCCAACAGGGGGCGATGGATCGAAGACGCTTACGGCGAATCACCGCCGCCCCCCGCCTTCTAGAATCGCCCATGTGGCCGAGCGTTGTGGCAAAAGCTCTGCCAATGTATCGGGCCATGTGTTCCCCCAACCGTCGTGGAAACCCTTCGGGGAACACTTGGGGGAGGATGGCGGGGAAGATCAAGAGGCGGCGGAGGAGGAGGTGGAGGAGGAGGAGGAGGCGGAGGAGGAGGAGGAGGAGGAGGTGGAGAAGGAGGAGGAGGAGGAGGAGGAGGAGGAGGAGGAGGTGGCACCTTGGGAGCCTCTGGGGGCACTCTTGGGGCCTCCTGGGAGCTTGCTGGGAGCCTCTTGGACCTTTGGGGGCTTCTCGGGGGCCTCTTTGGCCGTTTTGGTTGGCTCCTGGCTCGTCTGACGCAGTCGGAAGCTGTCTTGGGGGCCTCTCTGGGCCGTGTTGTGGCCCTCTTGCGGTGCTCCAGGGCCGTCTTAGAGGCCACCTTGGGCGTGTTGGAGGCCTCTTGGGTCGTCTTTGTGCCCTCTTGGATGCCATTTTGGGCGTCTTGGAGGTTCTTGAGCCCTCTTGGGGGCCTCTTTGGGCAGTCTTGGGGGTCCTCGTGGGCCGTTCTGGGGCCATACTGGAGACCTCTTGGGCGATCTTGGGGGGCTCTTGGGCCGTCTCGGGCCGTCTCGGGCCGTCGGAAGGCAGAAGAAAAACACATGCCACACTCCTTCAAAAACTCATGGGAAACCAATGATTTTGGCTTTTTTCGGGCCTTCCTGGAGGCCCTCTTGGAGGCCTCTTGGGCCGTCTTGGGCCATCTTAGGCCCATCTTTGGCCGTCTTGGTGGGTTCCTGGCCCGCCTGACGGCGTCGGAAGCCGTTTGGGGGGTCTCTTTGGCCCGACTTGGGGCCCTCTTGGAATGCTCCAGGGCCGTCTTGGAGGCCATCTTGGGCGTCTTAGAGGCCTCCTGGGCCGTCTTGGGGGCCTTTTGGGGCTGTCTTGGGGGCCTCTTGGGCCGTTCTGGGGCCATCTTGGAGGCCTCTTTGGCGATCGTGGGGCGATCTTTAGGGGCTCTTGGGCCGTCTCGGGCCGTCGGAAGGCCGAAAAGAAGCAAATGTCAACATCCTTACACACCTAAGGACAATCAATGAGTTTGTCCTTTTTCGGGCCTTCCTGGAGGCCCTCTTGGAGGCCTCTTGGGCCGTCTTGGGCCAGCCTAGAGCCAACTTCGGCCATCTTGGTGGGCTCCTGGCCCGCCTGACGCCGTCGGAAGTCGTAGTGGAGCCCTCTCTGGGCCGTCTTGGGGTCTTGTTGGGCCGCTTCAGGGCCGTCTTCGAGGCCATCTTGGGTGTCTTGGAGGCCTCTTGGGCCGCCTTGGGGCTCTCTTGGGGCCGTCTTAGGGCCTATTGGTCCGTCTTCGGGCCATCTTGGAGGCCTCTTGGACGATCTTGGGGAGACCTTGGGGGCCTCTTGGGCCGTCTTGGGCCGACGGAAAGCCCAAAACGCGTAAATGCCAAAATCGTTGGAAACACCTAGGGCAAATCAATGATTCTGGCCTCTTCGGGCCTTCCTGGAGGACCTCTTGGAGGCCTCTTGGGCGAATTGGAGGCCTCTTGGGGGCCTCTTGGCCCATCTTGGATGCATCTTGGGGCCATCTTGGCCGTCTTGGAGGGCATCTTGGGTTGTCTGGGAGGCATCTTGGAGCCATATTATTCGTCTTGGAGGCCATCTTGGCCGTATTAGACACATCTTGGAGGCCATCTTGAGCAATTTTGGCCGTCTTGGACGCGACAGGGGGAACCACCCGGGCATTTTCGGCAACCTTTCGGGTGGCCGGCGGGACGGGCCGAAGCCCCAGGGGGAGTTCTTTGGGAAAAAGAACCAAGCCAAAACCAAAAGGGTCTAGCACGCCAGGCACCCCTGCGATGAATCGACAGGGGGCGGCGGATCGAAGACGCCTACGGCGAATCACCGCCGCCCACTGCCCCTTTGGAAGCGCCTCTATGGCCGACAGCTGGGCCAGAGTTTGGCCAAGCTATCGGGCCACTTGTTCCCCGAGTCCGTTTGGAAAGACTTCGGGAATCGCATGGGGGAGCAAGAAGAGGAGAAGGGGGAGGATAAGGAAAACAGAGGAGTATGTCCAGGATTTCCGCTATCACAAGAGTGACTTAGGAAAAAAGAGGAGGAGGAGGAGGAGGAGGAGGAGGCCTCTTGGGCGCTTTTTGTGGCACTCTTAAGGCATCCTGGGAGCTTCCTGGGAGCCTCTTGGATGGTTTTGTTGGGGCTTCTTGGGGGCCTCTTTGGCCGTCTTATGGCGTTCCTGGCTTGTCTGACGCCGTCGGAAGCTGTCTTGGGGGCCTGTCTAGGTCGTCTTGGGGCCTCCTTGGGGCATATCAGGGGTTATTCGAGGTCATCTTGGGCGTCTTGGAGGCCTCTTGGGCCGTTTTGGGGCCCTCTGGGGGCCGTCATAAGGGGCCATCTTGGAGGCTTCTTGGACGATTTGGGAGGCCTCTTGCGCCGTCTTGAGCCCTCGGAATGCCGAGAAGAAGCACATGCCACAAATGTTCAAGCACTTTGGGAACACCAGCGATTTTGGCCTCTTCGTGCCCTCCCTTTTGGGCCGTCTTGGAGGCCTCTTTGGGGCCTCTTGGGCCGTCTCGGGCCTTGTTGGGGCCATCTTAGGCCGTCTTGGGTGCATCTTGGGCCGACTTGGAGGCATCTTGGAGCCATCTTAGCCGTCTTGGAGGCAATTTTGGCCGTCTTGGAGGCCTCCTGGGCGGGTGGCCGGCGGGACGGGCCGACGCCCCCGGGAGAGTTCTTTTGGACAGAAAGCCAACACCAAAACCGAAAGGATCCAGCACGCCAGGCACCCCTGCGATGAATCGACAGGGGGCGGCAGATCCTCGTGGCCTTCGGCCCATCTTGCTACCGTGCCTGGGTTCTGGGTCTGAGGCCTCTTATATATGTATTGGGGTGTCGTGGGGAGCCTCTCTGGGGCCTCTTGGAGGCGGTTTGGGCGCCTCTTGGGGGCATTTTAGAGGCCTCTTGGGCGCGTCTTGGGTGCTTCTCGGGGCCTCCTGGGGCCTCTTGGCGGCCTCTTGGGGCCTCCTGGGGGCTTCTCGGCGCACAAATATCGAATGTTCGGTTCGTGGTCCCCTGCTTGGGCCCCTCTTGGGGCCGTCTTGGGGCCCTCTTGGGCAGTCTTGAGCGCTTCTTGGAACATCTTGGCGCCGTCTTGGGCCGTCTTGGGGTCCTCTGAGAGGCGTCTTGGGCTTTCTCGGGTCGGTTTTTGGAGCTTCTTGAGCCGTCTTGGAGCGTCGGAAAGCCGAACATGCGCGAAGGGCAACATCCTTCACCAACATTTGTAAAATCTACGATTTTGGCCTCTTGGGGCTCGCTCGGGAGGCCTCTTGGAGCGCTCTCGGGGCCTCTTTGGGCCCTCTTGGGCTGTCTTGGAACCATCTTCGGGCGCCTTGGAACACTCTTGGCCTCGAGAATGCGAATTCAGCCTATTTTGCAAAGTTGTATGGCTTCGGGGACGCGAGAAAAGGTGTATTCTACAAGGGTTAGTTGCCTCGGGGATGCAACACCTGTATGATTTACAAGGGTTTGTGGCCTCGAGGACGCGAACATTGCTTATGTTACAAAAGATTATGGCCTCGGGGCCTCGAATCTCAAATATTTGTACGTGTCCCACGCCCCCCCCGGGAATTCAGAGCATGCGATCGGGGCGTAACCTTTGAGGCTCCCCCCCCCTCGCGCTGACTTAAACAGTTTACGGTCGGAGGCAGAAACCAAGATTGTAACATTGAAATTTTGAAATTGCAACTGGTGCAGGGAGCAGCACACTTGATTCTACATCCTGGTGGCCCCACAAGGGAGCCGGCGGATTGAATCGGGAAGGTCGTGGGACTTAGTGGGATTTTGTTGGGTCGCAAGTTGGATGTAGTGGTTGTCATGAGATTGAGTGTGAGTCAGCAGTGTCGTCGGGGCAATCGTTACCGCAGAGCTATAACTGTGATAGAGGGGCTGCAACGCCTCACCTCCTTGTCTGCACCAGACGCAATCACTGCACCCGTCCAGATATTACCGCACTTCCCGAGGACCTGCACTGATTCTCGGTACGGTAGGTTCGTGTCGTGTCGACCGGCGGCGACCCCGCCAGCGGCGTTCAATTTTGCACGCCGCGAGCGACCCAGATTCGTTCGGTGCGGAACGATTTGGGCGTTTCGGAAACGGCCGATCGTTCAAGGTTGAACGATCCCCGCAGTGTCAGGAACCAACGCCGAAGTCGGCACGTTATGAGCCTGCCGCAACCACCCTCCACGAGCGGCGTCTCCAGGACGGCATCCCTGGCAGCAAGGACATGCCCGAGGCAGGCGGGGGCAGGGTGCCGAGCTGAGAGGGATGCTGTGCGGCACGGAGGGCGCTCTTTGGAAGCGTTCTCAGCGGCAGTTGCATTCGCAGGCTTGGGGGCGGGGGGAGGGGGGAGGGGGGGCAGGGGCCAGATCGCAGGCGATCGCAAACATGGACCAAGGGGGCGTGGATTAGCGACGGGTCCCGTTGCCCTGGGATATCGCGGGTTTCCGCCGCCGAGCGAGGGCACCTCCCCCGATCCATGGAGTTGGCGACCGCGTGCTAAATCCATGGATCGCTAATCCATGTTTGCGCGCCCCCCAAGGGGGGAGGGGGGGGCAGGGGCCAGATCGCAGATGTGTCCGACAATGTCCGCTGGAGCTCGATGGGCACGCTCCTGCGGTGGCCAATCTGTCGCTGCAAATGCACACCGCTCGAGGTTCTGGGCTCAGCTGCGGGGGCAGGCAGCCGCACCCTGGCCTGAGGGGGATGACGGCTGACGGCGGATGGGGAGGACAGGACAGGGAGCAGAAGGTTGAAGGAAGGGGCGAGGTGGGCGGCAGGGGTCGTGCGGGGGAGAAGGGGCTCGATCATCTTCCTTTTCCTCCTCCTCCTCCACCTCCACCTCTTCCTCCTCCTCGCCAAAGGCGGGTCCGGTGGGCCGTGGCCTCATTGGGCGGCTCTCGCCAGGCCTTGTTCATATCCTCAGCCCTCGATCCTCGATGCGGAGAAGAGGAGATGGAGGAGGAGGAGGAGGAGGAGGAGGAGGAGGAGGAGGAGGAAGGCGGATGTGACAGATCGCCTGACGGATGTCGTGGATCAGGCCAGCTCCGACGAGTTCATGCCCGACCCTTGGGCCTTCTGTGGGGACCGAACACGTCGCGCTGCAGTCCTGGACGGCGAAGATAAGGTTGACTCGATGGTGGACTGTCTTCTGTGTGACAGCAGTGAATTTCATCTACACCAGGGCTGGTCTTCTGGCGCGTCTGGTATGTCAGCGCTTGCGCTCGCTTCGGGCGGCCTTGCGCACGACACGCAGGGCGCCCTGAGTGTCCCCCCCCCCCCCACGTCTTCCAGGGCACCCTGGGGCCTGGAGATCTCTTCCTGCTGCGCCGCTGACCTGGATCATGCTGTCTCCTGTACGCCTCGGATTCCCCACAGATGTTTCGGGCTCTTTTCCCCCCCTGGCGACCTGGGTTCATTCCAACCAATGCTAAGTCGGGCCTGTCCCTCTACAGGTGGAATATTCAAAAACTGTAAAAACAAAAAGCCTGGGGACGATTTTTTGGTATGTTTGACAATTTTGGCGTATTTATTGTACAGTTTTTTGCACCAAACACCCCCTGTTGGGGACAGGCCCGACATAAAACCAATGCTTGGGTGCTCGTCTTCCCCCCGGCTCCTGCCCTCTGGCGCCCTCGCCCCGCGTTTCCTGCCCGCCCCTGCCTGCCCCTCCCTTGCCCCCCTTCACCCATTCTCCCCGCGGCACGAGGGGGGCCTCCTCCTCCTCCTCCTCCTCCTCCTCCTCCTCCTCCTCCTCCTCCTCCTCCTCCGCTATTTCCGCTATTTGCCGCGGCATAAGGGTCACTCCCTGTGCCGCCTCGGTGGCGCCGATGCGCCCAGGCCGAGCCGCACGCGCGGTCGACACGCTGGCGCCCGCAGGGGGGGGGGACCCGCCCAGGGGGAGAGGAAGGAAGCCTCCAGGATCTCGGGGCGGAGGAGGAGCGGGGGGGAGGGGCCCATGCGACCCTAAGAGCCAGAGGCGCCAAGAGGACCCCGCCAGGAGGAGAAGAGGAAAGCCTTCAAGGGCCTCGAGAGGAGAGGGGCGGGGCCCAAGAGCCAAGGCGGCAGTCCGAAGGCCTCAGAGAGGAGGGGGGGAGGGGCCTCAGAGGGCATCGAAAGGAGAGAGGGCCTCGGACCACCTCAGAGAAGCCCGAAATGAGAGTCATCGGCCCGTCGCGCTGCCGCCCAGGATAGCAGCCTCCGTCCAGCTGCCACTCCGCCAGTCTGGGCGGCAGCGCGCAGGCACGTGGCACCAGGTGGGCAGAGGGCCCACCTGGTGTGCCTCCCCCCTACCCCCGCGGAGCAGGGAAGCCCACGACAAGGATGACCTGGAGCCAGGTCCTGGGGTCAGCAAGAAAGCGGGGGGGTAAAGGGGGGAGGCACCATACCCTAGAGCCCTAGAGACCCCGACGTCGACGCCCGCTCAGGCCTCGTCGAGCTGCGTCCTGCGGCAGTCAGTGCACACTTGTATCCTGGCGGCCATGTCCACGGTCTTGTCGGGCCCACTCTCTCGCCTCGTCGAGCCACGATGCCGGCTTGGCCTTGCGGGGATGGGAGTAGACCTGGCCAATCTCCTTGGGCATGTAGCTGTCAAGGGGCTGGTAGAAGTGGGCAACGTCGCAGTCGAGCTCCCAGGTGCAGTCGTCATTCACCATGTCGCCGAAGCGCCAGCGGATCTGATTCGTTAGCGCTATCGCAATGGCTTGGCACATTCTTGATGGGTACTCTTTCGCCGCAGAGGTACGCCACTGGCCGTCATCACGAACGCCCGCCAGCTCCGTGTGGTAGGATGGCGTGTGGAAGCACCGACCGCCGCCAGGTAGCCTCCTGATCTCCAAGCGGAGGGTGGGAAGCGAGACGGCCAGCAGGCTTGTGGTCTTCCTCGAAGCCGCCCCACCCACAGGTACACTGGTCGAAGGTGATCAGCTCGACGCCCTGTTGGCCCAGGAGGTGGCGCGTCTCGGGGAGCCGCCAAGAGCTGGCGATGTGCTCCTCAGGCGGCTCGCACGGGTGCTCGAGCAAGCCTGGGACACCGAGGTTGAGGCCCTCCTCCTCCTCCTCCTCCTCCTCCTCCTCCTCCTCCTCTCCTCCTCCTCTCCTCCTCCTCCTCCTCCTCCTCCTCCTCCTCCTCCTCCTCCTCCTCCTCCTCCCCCTGCCCCTCCTCCCCCTCCTCCTCCTCCTCCTCCTCCTCCTCTATTCCTCCTCCTCCTCCTCCTCCTCCTCCTCCACAATTACTCAATATGAATACTACTCTCCCTCTTCCCCCGATGGCGGCCTGAAAGTATTACCCCCCCCCGCGTACTGGTTGTTTACACACAGGATTCCCGGGAGTTGGGTTTTCGCCTGCGTTTTTTGTTGTTTTTTTTCAAAATGCTGCTCTCGCTGAGGCGCCGGCCTCATTTCTGCTCCCGAATCGTTCCGAATCGTGCTCCCGCTGCAGCGTGGGCCTCATTTTCGGATCGGTGTTTGGCCTCCGTCGTTCAGGATGGCGTTCTCGCCCCAGCGCGGGCCTCTTTCTCGCGCGCCCATCCGCCCGCCACCACCGCGCCGCACCACCACCACCACCACCACCACCACCACCACCACCACCACCACCACCACCACCACCACCACCACCACCACCACCACCACCACCACCACCACCACCACTCACCAGCAGCACCACCACCACCACCACCACCACCACCACCACCACACAACCACGCACACACGCACGCACGCACGCACGCGCACCACCACCCACTACGCACGCGCGCGCGGAGCCACAGGTCCGCTACGACACGCGTCCGCGGATAGAGAAAATCAGCGCCATGGTAAGGGATGGGAGGGAGGGGTAGGACGTCAGATATGACGCGAGCGCACCTAGCTTGTCCTCCTCCTCCCCTCCTCCTCCTCCTCCTTCTCCTCCTCCTGTTCCTCCTCCTCCTCCTGTTCCTCCTCCTCCTCCTCCTCCTCCTCCTCCGCCTCCCCCTCCTCCTCCTGATCCTCCTCCTCTCCCTCCTCCCCCATTCTGGGCGCTTCTCTCTTCGGACGCCAGCCGAACTTCTGACGCCCCCCACTCGAGGGGCCGATCATCTTGCCGAGGTGCCCCTCGCCGCCAAAAGGCGCCACTGTGCTCGCAGAGCTTGGAGCCACCTTTCCTGCACAGCCCTGCATAGTCCCCCCCAGGCCGCAATGTCTTAGCGGCGATCGGGGCTGAAGGGACGGGGGTCACTGCAAACGGGGGTCAGTCAGAGCGGCGTATCTTGCAGGATCCTGCAATGTCAGGGGTGCACTCATAGGGGCTTGGACGCAGGACCCTGCAGGATCTTGCAGGATCCTGCAAGGTCTGACTGACCCGGGTCTGGATTGACCTTGGTCAGTAGATCCCCGAGGCGAACAACTGTATAGAATACATGTTTCCGTCGCCGGGGGCGCTGCCCCAGGGCGGCTGGGAAGTTTATACCTTGACGTGCCACCGTAAGGGTGTAAATTTTCCAGCCGCCCTTGACAGGCGCCCCCGACGACGAAACAGCTTATTTTATACCGTTCTTCGCCCGTTGAATGTCTTGCCCGCCGCCCGCCTCGCTGGCTCCAGCCGCTCGCGGTTGCTCGCGCGGGCGTTCTGGGGGACTCGCCCAGCCCGGCCGCAGCTCGTGGAGCCCCTCGACCAGAGCTTCGACGATCCATCCACGTCCGGGCGGGATCTTATGCCACGCTCATTGTTTCCATGGTTCCCCCAGGATTTAGAAATCGGGCGTGTCCCTCTACAGGAGGAATGTTCGAAAACAGTGAAAAAATAGTCTGGGGACTATCTTTCTTTTATTTATTTATTTAATCGCTTCGCTCATTCCGCCGGCCCTCGAGCGCTCTATGGGGCCTCTTTGAAGCCTCTTGGGGGCCTCTTTGGGGCCTCCTGGCCTCTTGGGGGCCTCTTGGGGGTCTCTTGGGGCTTCTTGGCGGCGTCTTGGGGCCCCCTTGGGCCTCTTGGGGGGCTCTTGGGGGCCTCTTGGGGCGGGGTAGTCGAGTGCACCCCCCTCGGAGGCCACGATCCTCGTGAGGGGTGTCGAAAAAACGGCCCTCAAAACCATCTCTGAGTAGACGTGCTCGGGCTGCGGTCGGGATACTTTTCGCCGGGAGACCCCCAGGGGCCGCCCCGCGCGCGCGAACTATAAATATTGTTAACCAGTTACCGGAGATCTTAGCACGCCTTTGGCCCGTTGGGCCGGCGAATTTACTCGTTTCGCTCATTCCGCC